CCCCCCGCCCACCTGGAAGCAGGTATTTCTGCCAGCACATCCAAGCATGCGGCTGCACAGAGGAGGGCCTGGGAGGATCGCCCACAGAGCCATGGGCATCTCGGAGGAGGAACAGCCTCGACCTCTGTGCTTGTCTGTGGCCATGGCTGAAATTCTTGACACAAGGAATTATTCGTGTCTTACTTATACAGTTAAATAAAAAGAAATCAGGAGCTAAAAATAACTATCATATGCATATTCCAGAAACTTCAAGGATACTGAAAACATAAAGAAAGTAAAAGTCACCATCTGAGCAGCTCTGGCACCACCAGGACCAGGCTTCCAGAACCGACCTTGCCCGACAGCTGCTCAGGCATGGAGCTCACTGGAGCCTCACAGATTTCTTTGCAGCTCTCTGTAAATCTATAATTATTTCAAAAGAAGCAACTGAAAAAAGCCATCAGCCTCCCCTCCACTGGGAGGCACTGCTCTTACTATTTTACTGTTTCCTTCCAAACGTGCTCTGTGTATTTGCTATTTGCCTGTTTTCCTCACTTATTGTTATGTGCCAGTTTTTTTTTTTTAATGGGCACATACCAGGTTTTTGTTGTTGTTTGTATGTCAGTTTTTAAACATGAACGAATTATCTGTCGATGCCTCCGATGGCTCACCTTGACCACCTTTGCTGTGAGTCTTTACAATGAAATCTCCCCAGGTAAGACGATGCCAGATGGGAGATGGCAGGTAGAGGCCTCCAGGTCACCCCAATCCGTTTAAAGACAGGAGCCCAAAGACGACCCAGGACCCCATACAATTTGCTCCTGGATTCGGACCAGATCCCCACTCTCCCGAAAAGCTTCAGAACCAGCTGGGGTTGGACAGGAATATCCTCAAATTGAGGGCTCCCTCCCCTACCACACCAGAATGGGGCCTGGCCCGGGAAGGCAGGACAAAAGCGGTGGGGGGCGGGACCAGCATGATCACAGGTCCCGCCTCCCCCAGAGCCACACCCCCCGGAGAAAATTCTTACACGGAAGTTGTGTGTGCAGCCATTCGAACGAGCTCTGGCTTTCCTTCAGGATGGCGGGGCCAGGGCCACCTGGGCAGGTGGATAGACCCGCTGGACTTATTCCCCTGGAATGAGGCTTCTGAGGCCCAGACCTGAGTCCTCATACAGCGGGGGACAGGTGCTCGCCAAGCTCTGGTCCGGTCTGGGCCTCAGGTCTCCCTGAGGGCTCTTGAGTTTCCAGGAGGCTCAGTGCTCAGTCGCTGGGCCTGCTGCCCAGGCCTGGGGGCACCACAGACTCCTCTGAGACGGGGGAGTAGGGTCCCCCTCCCTCCCACACCCCCACCTCTTTTCTGGCTGAGAAAAGAGCTCCACGAGCGCCCCACCCAGGGGTCTGGGGACCTGGCTGGCACAGGGACACCCCGACCTGTGTCCACAGAGCAAGGACTTCAGGTGACCACAGGGTGCCAGGTGAGCACAGCAGAGCAGGCATGGGCTGAGGGCCTGGGGAGGGCGGGGCAGAGCACCTGGGGCTGGGATCCACCCCCCAACCCTACCATCAGTGCAGGCTCCCTGCCCTGCCCACAGAGACATCCCCCTCAGAGCCTCTGCAGACAGACCCTGCATGGCGGCCCGAGCTCCACCTGGGACCCCACTTGCTGACAATGACGAGGACCCGTCCTTCCAGCCACCAGCGGAAGTCAGACAAAGTACAAGCTGGGTGCGACCGGCACTGCCTTTGGGCTGGGTCAGCACAGACAGACCAAGGCGGTCACGTGGGTTGGGGGGAGCCATGTCTGCTGCGGTTCTGGGGGTGGGGTCTTTAGAGCCTAGAGCCTCTGGCCTGGGCCAGAGTATCATAAAGATCTGTGGAAAGGAGAGCGAGAGGGGCGGAGGGAGAGGGAGAGGATGGCTTTTTAAATTCACACTTAGAGAAGTATGTTCCATACTACACCACCTCCACCCCTGAGGCTGGAGTGGGGCCCCCAGAGCCGACCCTGAAACCAAGACTGGAGTGGAAGAGCTTTATTTGGGGGTCACTGCAGGAAACAGCCAGAGGGGGTGGGCAAGGCGCCGACGTTGGGTGTGCTCCTGAGGGTCCTTGCTGTGGGCACCCCTGCTGGGGGCCTTGGAGCCTGCGGATCCCCAGCAGCAGGGCCAGGCTCTGGCTCCGGGCTTGTGACCAGAGCCGGACGCAGAGCCGCAAGAGGCCAGAAGGGGGCACATGGGGAAAGCGAGCACCAGAACAGCCGGCCCCCTCCTGGGCATCTCCCCGCCGGCTGAGGCTGGACCCGACTGCGTGCAGTTGTCGCCTGGACCACAGCTTCGGGGCTGCCTTTGCACCCCAGTCTGCATCACCTGGGCTTGTTAGATCAGATGATTTCCTGGCCATGCATGGCCCCAGGCCCGGCAGGATGACTGGCTGGTCCCTGAGAGGATTCGGCACAGCTATAGCCTGACTCCTCCCTGCCCCTCCCCAAGCCAGGTACCCCTCGAGGCTGAGCTGGGAGGCCCGGGGGCAGACTGGAATTATGGCCCGGGGAAGGGAAAGGAGGGAAGGCTGAGCAGTGGCCTTCCGGTCTCAGTCCCGCAAAGTCCAGAATGTCCACTGAGTGGCCACCGACAGCTCCTGCACTCACAGCTCAGCAGCCCGGGAAGCATTGCATCCCTGGGGACCCAGATGCTGTCCCGGGCTGGGGCTCACAGGCTCTGAGTGGGCCAGGTGAGGCACCCACCCCAGCCAGAGTTTAGCGGGACGTGTCACCGGACAGAGGGGGATGGTGCCGGTATGCAAAGAGACAGCGGGTGAGCCGTGCGCAGAGCCTTGCCCGTCCCAGGACAGTCGCTGCAGGCCCTGGGCTCCCCTCCTCCCATAGGAGGGCGGTGCTGTCCGGCGCCATTCTCCTTACCTGCCCCCAGGACCCCTCCCAGTGCCGGTCCCCTCTCCAGGGCTGGCCCTGCTCGCCCTCATTCCCGCCCACCCACCTACCTTCCCCAGGCACATGGCCCAGCCATCCAGGCCCCTCCCTTTCCAGGCCACATGCAGCCCTTGATACATCTGGCACGGTCTTGTCACCCTGGCCCCTCTGCCCCTTCTCCTAGTGCTGCTACGCTGGCTGCTGGGGCCCCCGACCTTCGTGGACCTCTAGCGGAGAGTCCCTGTGGTGTCCTGGGGCCTCAGGGCATCCGACCCGCACTGAGGTGAGCTGGTGCCTGGGGGTTAAAGCTCTGTGGTCACCATCCCGACATTCTCAATACTTCGTCTTTGAATGTACGTTTTGTAAAGTACCATCCAGTGGGACAAAGGGGCACGTGGCAGGGACTTGGGGCCTCCCAATAGCTCTTCCCCTAGGACCGATTCTTGGCCGCCCACTTCCCTTCCCCCAGCCAGTGACCATCACTGACCCTTGCCCCAGCGGGGGTCTAGGGGTGAACACAGAGGAACACTGATTGACAGGGATGGGCCCCAGGTGTCTACAACAGTCTGTGTTCCTCTGTGAGAGCCCCCTGACGTTAAACAGCAAATAATAAATAATAACTGCCACCACAGGTCAGAGAGAGATGTGGAGGGAAGGGAGGCAAGGCCTCTTCCTGCTTCTGGAACAAGGCCCCAGGTTGTCACCCTGCCCTGTGGTGGCCTCGCTGTGCCGGGAGCTCACCTGCATCCTCTCACTGCCAAGGTCGATGCCCCCTGAGTTGAACGAAGCTGCAGAGCAACTCAATCCCTGCTGTCGTATCAACCACCCGGCAGGGTGCGTCCCGCTCCCACAGCTGTGAGACATCCGGGCCCCAAACCACCTGGCACTGTCTCTGGGGACAGATGGTGGTTTGCTGCTGAGGCCGAAGGTGCCCTTGACCAAGTGGAGCTCAAACACCACAAGTGCAGCTCCTGGAAAAGCAGGGTGGGAGCTGACAGGCATGACCGGCACGGGCCGGGGAAGCGGCAGGGCCCAGGGCTGCCTCCAGCCGGCCCCAGACTAGCGGTGCGGTCTGGGCAAGCTTTGTCTTCTGGGAGGCTTACCAATGAGACACTTACGGAGAGGCAGTTTCAAAACTGTAAAGTGCTGTAAATTATAGGAGGCAAGTCGAGGTTACTCCTGAGCTGGGAACAGGAAAGCCTGAGAACACAAGCAGGTTTGTGGCGTATGAAGCGGCTCCAGAGAAAGTGCAGAGCGGGTGGTTCCTGGAAGGAGGCCATTGACTAAGGATGAGCCCCGAGAGTTTAGGTGGGAAAGGGACCGGGGAGTGGCTGACGCCAGCACGAGCACCTCTATCACCCCTCGGGTGGCCAGGTGTCTTTGTTTGCAGGCCCCCGGAGGCCAGCTGTTGGGTGAGCCCTGTCCAGCCCCCAGAGGGTAGTTTGCTCCAGCCAGGTGGTCACCTGAACTCAGGGCCAGCACCCTTTAGGCCCCACTCCCAGCTTGGCAGAAGGTCTCCCTGCCGGTGAATCCAGAGGCCTCTCCTGGGGGTCACCTGCCAGATCTAACATCATGCAGGTGGCCAATGTGTGTGCCCTCTGACCCAGTGATCTGCCTGCAGGAACCTCCCTCTAGGTGTCCCTGCACAGGTGTGCACATGCATCAGGGGCAGCGAGGCTGGAACAGCCTGGGAAGGACCTTCTGCCTCCCACCTTGTACCTTTCAGTACATAGATGAGGTGTTCTTGGTTTGTTTGTTTGTTTTTTGGCCGTGCCACGTGGCTCCTGGGATCTTAGTTCCCCGACCAGGGATAGAACCCGGGGCCATGGCAGTGAAAGTGCTGAGTCCCAACCACGGGACCTGCTGGGGAAGTCCTAGATGAGGTTTTTCACCATGTGCTTACGTGCCTGTGAAACAAATAGAAAATCAAACCTCTTTAAGTCAATGCTGGAAATGTTTAGACAATCCCACCCCAGCTGCGTACAGCAGGGAGGGGGTGCCTGAGGGTGGAAGGCCCCGGATGGGGTGGGCTCCCTCTGCCACTGGACACACCTGGCAGGAGACCCCTGAGCTACGTGCCTGCATGGACTCGGCTCCTCTCCAAAGCTGAAGGGTGACCAGGGGTCAGGTGGGGGAGGGCAGGAACAGAGTGTTCTGGGCAGTGGGGAGAGCCCGTTGGTCCCAGCACAGACCCGGGGCCGGGCAATCCTTGCCTCAGAGGTCCCCGTGCTGTTCCAAAGCCTGAGCTGATCAGTGTCACATGAGTCCTCCACACCCCCTCCCTGTGCCAGGAGCCGGGGCAGTTTCTCCCACTCCCTTCACGGCTGGACCATGGCAGTGACCCTCTGCAGTAACAGGAAGCTCAGCTCCACACTCCGTGACTCCACCCTTCCTGTGTCCTCAGGCCTGGCAGAGGAAAGGCTTCCCCGGGGCTGGTCTGGGAGCCTCAGCCCCTTGTGCTGGGCCCACAGAGTCCCCACCTTGGGCCTCTGGGGGCCTATGCTCCCTGCTCTGAGCAGCCCTCACACCCCCCCTCTCCCTGAGATCAGTGAGGACCACTGCCAGATTTCCCAGCTGGCAGGGTGGCAGCCCGGGATGGTGGCTATCAGATCCTGCCTGCCCCTTCCCTGGCCAGCAGGCCTGTGTGGCCATACCTCTGCAGGCCTCTGGTTTCCGGGGCTACTCCTTCCACCACTCAGCCCCTGCAACTCGCCTCCAAATTTTCCACTTGACATTATTTGTGATCCTTGTGCTGGTTGAATAGTGTCCCCCCAGATTCCTGTCCAAAGGATACCTGTGAATGTGACCTTATTTGAAAATAGGGTCTCTGTAGATAGAATGAAGTTAAGATGAGGTCATACTTGACTAGGGCGGCCCTAAATCCAACGACGGTGTCCTTATAAGCAGAGGAAGACTCAGAGGCAGAACACAGAGAGACGGCCATGTGTTGACAGAGGCAGAGAGCCAGCATTCCAGGCCTTCAACCTTCAGCAGATCCGGGCCTTGCGAAGATGTTACATCTGCCAGAGCCAGAAAAGAAGACAAGAGACCCGCCTGGAAGCCATGTTGGGGAGTGGCCGAAGGGGCGTGGGAGCCCCGAGGAGCAGCCAGGCCGGGGGCCTGGTGTGGGGTGGGCTGGGAGTGAGTGGGGAGAGAGAAGTGGTCTCCCGGCAGGAAGGTGGAGCCAGGAAGGGGCTGTCCATCTCTGAGGAGAAACCAAAAGGCCCCTAGCAGGTCCTGGACTAGGGCAAAGTGCAGGGATGAACTCTTTTCCCCCCTGTGGTCAAGAATCTAACATGCAACTATGATTATAAACTGGGGAGCCCCTTGGAGACCCAAGAGAGTGCTCACACAGCAGCACCCTTGGGGAACCTCGAGTCGAAGGCTCCGCGGGGACGGAGGCTGCAGAAGCCCAGGAGGAGCTGCCCCGAGGACCGCAAAGCTCAGAGCCTGGGCGCCCCTCCGAGGGCTGTTGGAGGGGCGTTTGGGGGCGAGCTGCGGGGTAGAGGGGACTGCAGCCTGGCTATAAGGGGCCGCACTCGCTGGCTGGAGCTTCTTCACATCTGAAGAACCAGCGCGGTGGTGCCACCAGACTCACAACCTGCGCCAGTCTGCGCCTGCACGCGCCGCGCGGCAGCAGCATCATCGCCCCCGCTGCGGCTGCGGGCGCGAGGTCCGACAGATGCACACCTGCGGGGCGGTCCCCGCGGCGCCACTGGACACGCCCATGTAACTGCCCAGGCTCGCCCCGCCCTGCCGCGCGAGACTGGGACCTGGGTGTGAGATCCGTCCCGCCGGGCGGCGACGCGCAGGCGCGGCGCGTGGCGGCTCGTCGACCTCCCGGCCTGCCTCGCGTTCGCTGACGTCGCGCAGCCTCGTCCCCGCTGCCGCCGCTGCCGCCGCCGCCGCCGCCACCGTAGTCGCCGCTGCTGTCGCCGCCGCCGCTGCCGCCATTGGAGTCTGCGCCTCGTTAGTGCGTCGGGTGACAGACCCGGCCTCGCGGGGAGGCCCGAGCCGGCGGGTGCCCCGGCCCCGCACCGCGCCGGCTGTTCATGAAGCATGTCGGCCACCAGCGTGGACCCCCAGGTAGCGGTGGGGCCGGGGTCACGGGGCCGGGCGCCGGGGTCGCGGGGGCCGCTCGCGGAGTGGGAACGCGGGGGCCGGGGTCGCGGGGCCCGGGTCGGGGTCGCGGGGTCTGCGTCGCGGGGCCGGGCCGACGTAGCCCGGGACCGCGGGCCCGTTGGGGCCGGAACGCGCCGCCCGCCGGGAGGGGTTCTCATGGGTAATTTTGTGTTCTCTTCTCCCCTGGTGCTGTCCGCTCGCGCGTCTGGGCCTGCGGCGAAAGCAGAGAACAAAAGGGCAAGATAATAAAGGTGAGCGGAGTCGGGATGGCGGTGCGGGCCGGGCCGGGAGCGGAGGGGGCGGCGCTCGCCTAGAGCTCGGCGCGCGGGTGGGGGGGAGGAGAGGCCTTGGAAGCGGCAGCCAGAACCGCGGAGTTTTCCTCCCTCCTCTTCGGGGAGACGAACCCTTAGGCTGTGATATCGGGGGAGACGTAACAGGTCGGAAACAGGGAGTTTTCAAGGAGAAGCAAGCAAATCGGTGGTGAGAGTAACTCCATCTCTCCCTCCCACGGCAGGCTGGTTGATTGGGGTGGGGGAAGGGAAGGAGGCCGGGGGCCGAGCGACCTGCCTGTCTGCGGCCCCAGGTGTGGGGCTGGCCCTGGGGCGGCCGCTGGCCCTTGGCCCTGTACGCTGGCGCCTTACCCCAGTCGTAAAGCCCCTGTCTTTTGAGCCTCTTGGGATACTCTGGCTTGGGGTCCACCCCCAAAACTCCGTCTTGGGAGGACTGGTGACGCTTCGTGTTTACTCCAAAGACTGTTTTGAACTAGTGTGTGTGTTACTCGGGTGTAACCAAATACGGTTATCATGTTTTGAGATTGGAGAAGGCCCAGCACTTATTTACCTTTCCCTTCTTTTCCTGGCTGAGCGTGGTGACAGTGGAAAATAAGAGCACAGCCAGATAACAGTTAAGAAGCGTCGTTCAGTTGCAGGCTTCCCAGCTTTGCTGCCCACATAGCCAGGCTTTAGGAAGCACCGTTCTCTGTCTGGCAGACATAGATCTCAGCCCACATCATCTTTACCAAAACCTGGTTACGAGTTCCTTGCATTATTTGGTCTGCACCTGTATTTTGTCAACATTTACCAAAGTACGATTAATTTTTATCAGAAACGTAGCTTAAGTTATTGAAAGTTTTGTATCAGCTTTCTAATTAGTTGTGTAAGTATCAGTTCTGTAATGTCTTTGCCCATTTTTAAGTAAAAGTGATTTGTAGTAGAAGTTGATGGGTATAAACTTGACTGTCTTTAATTTCTGTGATTAAAAGCAATTTAAAAAAATTCAAAAGTAATATTTTGCAACTTCTCATTCTAGTACAAAATGGTTCTTTGCATCAGAAGGATACAGTTCATGACAATGACTTTGAGCCCTATCTTTCTGGACAGTCAAACCAGGTGAGTTTATTTTTTTTATTTTTTAACATTTTTACATTCATTTTGACCGAAGTTTGTAATAAACCTTTATTAGCGTCTTTCTGACTTTATTATCCTAAACAACAGAGAAGCAGACTGTAAAGTACTAGAAATAAAGGAAGAGGCTGACAAAGGCTTATATTGAAGAGCAGCTTCACGATGAAGGTGGGGCATGAGGGTGGGGAAGCTGGTTTTCTCTCTGGAGGAAATGGCGTCGGCCTCAGCACTGGTGGGTGAGTGATGCATTGCGTTAGACAAGAGTGGGGGGCGTGCCTAGTTCTCTGAAGTTTTCCAGTGACTTTTTTTAGCTCTGGATGATTGGACTTTTGGTGTAGGAGCAGCTAGAGCAGGGCTCTGGAGTGAGACTCCGGCCTTGGGTTCTTCACACCACTGCTGACTGTGACGCTTCGTCGATGGCTTGCCCTCTCTGTGCTTTGCTTCCTTTTCTTAGGACAGTTGGAAGAGGTGGCTCCTGATAAGAGTTGTGGGGAGGGTGAGACTAGATGGTGCCCAAAGAGCTCAAGGGGGTACCTGAGTGAGTTGTAGCCACCTGTTCTCTCAGGTGTTGCAGGCTTTCTCAGCTTTGGCACTAAGGGGATTGTGGACAGAAACACTCGCTGTTTGGGGGGCATTGTAGGATGTTTAGCAGCCTCCCTGGCCTTCATCCGTGAGATGTCATTAGTATTTGCGTACCACCCTCCGCATAACAACCAAAAATACCTCAGCAAACATCTGCTGGGGGGCTAGATTGTCCTGGTTAAAACCACTGGGCTAGTTGGAGCTGAGGTTTAAGCAAAAGATCTGCCGCTTTTAAAATGCACAGTGTGTGTTTGCTTCGAGCAGAGTCAGGCTCTGCCTCCTCCCTGTGGAATGAAGCTAGTCTGCCCTTCTGTAGAACGTCTTAGAACTTTTCTCCATTCTTCTGCTCCTGCTGCACTTGGCAAGTCAGCAGCTGAGGAGCCTGAGACACCCTGTTCAGAGGAGCCCCCTGAGGGCCCACCCCTCCTCTGGGCAGGACAAGGGGCTGCTTGGTGATGGGCTTTCAGCCAGAGGTGATGGCAGGAAGTTAAGTGGACTTATTTATTTCTCTTACATGATTCGTTCTAGCAGTGTTATGTGTTGATTTTAACCAAAAATTCAAGGGAGGGGGTTGCTTCGCTTGAAATATTTTTTTTTTATAAGGTAGGAGCTTTTGTTACTCAGGAGGATGTCTTTAAAAATGGAGTAGATGACTTTCTGATGTCAGTGGAGTAGTCCCAGCTGGCTCACTCTGGAGAAGCCGCGTGGAAGGACCGTGGTGGGTTGGTGCTATCAGTGGACAACCTTAAAATATCCTCTTCCTCCTGTGTGTTAAAATGTGTACTTGTCAGCAAGATGATTAATCAGCACATCACTTAGGAGTGAATTTATTGAGAAAACTCTTGAGAACAGACCTTCCAGAAATGTCCAGTTGTTGCAGAGTGTAGGAAGCGTGCAACACGGGAGGGCTCTTAGATCCTAGTTTTCCCGGCCTTTTCATTGTACGGATGAGGAACCTGAAGGCCAGAGAGGCTCTGCTGTGCCTGGTGGCAGAGCCAGGCTGTGGACTGAGCGTCGGTACCTCTCACCCAAGTGTGCAGCGGGGTCCTTTGGTTCTGTGTTTGCCACTCATTTCTTCACATGGGCTGTGATGCAGTCAAGAGTCCCTTGAGATTGTCACTGCCTCTAGATGTGGACTCTGCTGTGACATCCAGCCCAGACTGCTAGTGAGGAAGCCGGAGCGGAGATTGGTGTGGCAGGAAGCAGTGAGCGCACACTTCCTGTATGTCCAGTTAACCTTTACTGAGGTGGTGTTGACGTGAGATGAACTGCCCGTGTTTAAAGAGGACGGTTTTATATGTGGCCTTTCCCTGGTACGCATGTGCACCTGTGGGGCCGTCACCGCGGTGGAGGTCGTGGGCATATCTGTCAGCCCTGGGCTGCTTTCTCACCTTTTCTTAACCCAGCTGTGGTTTGTAGTAGCCAGTTGGAGACACTATGGTGTTCTGATTTGTGACGCCTTAGTGCTTCGGATGACTTGGCAAGTATTTAAAAGCATGGCTTTCGGTTAGTTGGCTTGTACCACGCTCTAATAGGACTGCTCTGCTCGGGGTGGGTGCGCTTCCCTCAGAAAGGCCTGGGACCCTGCTCTTGGTGTGTGTTTCCCTTCCTAGTGGCAGCCCAGAGCATCCTTACGTAGCAGACTTGAACTACACTGCAGTCAGCTTTTTGGACACGATGCGGGGAGAGGAAGCATGGGGGCGGTGGGGGCCCAGGGGCGGAGGGAGGGGCTCTGGGTGGGGCTCTGATGCTGCTGGCTTGTCCTGACTTCGCCCTCCTAAGGGCCGGCCTGCTTTCTGGTTCTCTGTTTTTTTCTCTGAAAGGTAAGGAAGACTGCAAGGACCCAGAAAGTCCCTGCTCAGAGTTTTGGAGACACAGTGCCTCTGAGTCTGGTGTAGGCGCTGCTGGCCAACTGCCAGGCCGAGCGTGTGGGCGGAGGGGTTCCTGGGGATTCTGCGTCTACACTCAAGCACTCAGTTGTCGGCAGCCTTGTCAGCGCGCCCGGTCATGTTTGACGTAGACAGAAAGGAGAAAAGTCAACTTTTTCGTTTTTCCTCTTTAATAATTCAGCTGTGTTCTAAGTGTAATGAGAAACATTCACCTTTTAGGAATGTTGTATAAATTTACTCGTTTCAGGTTCTAGGGCTGATCATTTGTAGTTGGTTTAAGCCATGCTGTTGATCGAGTCCTCTGATGAGATGTGGGTAGAGCTGCCCGGAGTGCTGTGGGGTGTCCGCCACTTGAGGGTCAGTGTGGCATCTCTTCGAGACCTCGTGTCCACTGTCTCTCACGTGCCGTCCGTCCTACGTGGTCGAGCTGACACTTATGCCTCTCTGCTCTCTTGGCAAGAAGCTCCTGTCTGGCCACCCTGAAGGCTCCTTCCTTGGAAATGGTGCTCAGCTGTCACCCAGTGTTTTCTGTCAGGTTTGGGGTGGGCGTTTCACCCAGCGGCACAAAGCTGGACGCATCAACGCCTTCTTGCAGCGCCTGCCCTGTGCAGAGAGCCTGGAGGAGCTCAGCCCGCGCCTTCCTGCTGCTCCACAGTGGCTCCGGGGGCCTGGGCAGGGGTCAGGGGGTCATGGGCACTGGTTGCCTGTGGCTGCGTCTGGGAGCCGGGGGCGTCCTTCAGACGCGGCGATGGTGCCGCCGAGTGGCATCGGGACACACTGCTCACCGCTGTGAAGCTGCTCAGAGCCGCACACCTCAAGGCGGGAGACAAGTGCCGAAATTGTGTGGGTGTCGGAAGCCGTGGTTTCCTCTGACCTGACCTGCAGCCTGAAGCCCAGGAAAAGCAAGCGGCCAGCCGCACCCCAGGATTTCCCCCAGGAGCTGTGGGCGTGGGGGCCTGCTCTCAGCCCTGGGTCCCTTGGTCACTGCTTCACAATTGCCCTTGGCACTTACCCTCTTGCACAGTTTATTCCAGCCCCTGCATCCCCCACGTAAATGCTTCTCAACGTACGAGGTGTTCCATGTGCCTTGGGCGTCTGAAGCCTTGGGCTTTCTGTTTCGCCCTCCAGCCCCTCTTCTTGGTCACTGTAATGGCTGAGTCACTTTACTGTTTGTGAGCCTTAAAGCATTTGAGTAATTTCAGGACTTCTTCTCAGAAAAATGGACAATAGGAATCAAACGTTCCAACTTTCAAGCAGGTGGTTTTGGTCATTGAGCCTGAGGGGTTTTTGTAAAACTGGTTAAGTTTCGTTTTAAGTGTAAAACACTTAATTATAGAATAGGTTTATGGGTTTATCGTGTTTTACTGTTTGGTTTTTCAAAGAAAGTCATCTGGGGGTAACTGCCACGACTGTTGGAGTTGATTTTGTTTGGAGTGCCCATTTTGTTTATCGCTTTTGACTCGGTCACAAGGAGGCGCCCTGAAAGTCCAACGCTTGGGGGTGTCTTTTCTACTGTCTCTAGACTAATTCTGTCTTGGAGACCTGTCACCCTCCCTTTCTTGAGTCCCTAAGTTATACAAAGGCTACAGTTAGACGTGTCACACGTGAAAGTGGTCTTCGGGGGGTGCAGTTTTACCTGCGTTGTCCTTAAAAGAGTTTGTTCCGTGCTGCTCCTTTGAGTAGCCCCGCGACACCTCTGCGCAGAAGTATTAATGCACTAAGAGAAAGTGCGCGATTTGTCGTCATCCCTTTGGTTTCTGCACCCACGTCCCTGGCAGGTGAACTTGGGCCTCTTTACTTGAGCTGCACAGCTGATTAAGTAGATGGCGTGTTTGCCGTCGCAGGAGCCCAGCTGGGGAGCGTGGTGTCTGAAGAGCCTGAGGCCGCTGCTGGGCGGGCTTCTGAGGGGCTGGGTGTGAGCTCGAGCAGTGCCCGAGCCCGGCGGTGCCCCTGGCGGCCTTGTGTCCCAGCTCTCTGAGTGGCACGGTTCAGTTTCACTGTAACTCGGGGCTGGGACAGTCAGCCCGAGCACTGCGGACAGCGGGCCCCGAGCCCTGGTGGCGGGGGCGGGGGGATGCGGAGCGCAGCAGGGAAGGCCCCACGGGTTCTCCTGCTGTTCCTGGCAGCTTTGCCTTTTACTCTGCTCCTTCTCTCTTGGAGTTTGGAAGGAGACCCAGCAGATGTGGTAGGAGATGGGCCGCCAGGAAGGGGCTGGAGATGGATTCCGTTCCCAGCGCCGGAGGCCATTGCACGCAGCCTGCCGCGCACCCCGCGGCCCGGTGGGGACAGACGATGTCGGGAGGGCTCGGCCAGGGCCAGCTCGGAGCCCCGGGGATGGCGGTGCGGGTGGCACGCGGCATCTTCTTAGTAAACCACCGCTCCTTACCCTGTGAACTTGAAGTGAGGCGTCTCTGTTCCTTCTGTTGTATGAATTTAAGTGTTCAAGGGAGAGCTGCAGTCCAGGTTATTTCACGATTTTCCAGTAAAGAGCTGCATCCTCGCTGGTGCTCTCCTCGTAGTGACCTGCCTGCATCGGCACGTCGCGGGAGGAGAGGTCGGAGTCCTCCCAGGGCTGCCTCCGCCTTGGTCCTGCCTGTGGCTGGGTGAAGGATTCAGGGGTGCCGGCTGGCTCACTTCCTCTTT